TTCTCTTATGCATGCGGATAGCCATTAGAATCCAGCCTACTGCCTGTCTTTGTAATTAAAGTGGTTTTTTGTTTGTTTGTTTTTTAAGAAAACAGCTACATTTGATCATGTGTCTTCAGAGGCAGCTGTCTTCCTACAACAAAGGTAAGCAGTTGTAACTACTTATGTAGCCTGCAGAGCCTGAAATATTTACTATCTGGACCTTTACAGAAAGAGTTTGCTGACTCCTACTTCAGAATTATATCTAGTCACTAAATGGTGGGGCGGTGGGGACACAACTGAACATAAAACAGCAGACATTTAAATTCAATATGAGCAAGAAGTTTCCCTGGGAGAAAAAAACAATCAGTAATAACATGAGTTGGCACCAAAGGATGCAGGACCAATATTCTTGGGTTGCCTCTTTTTTCTCTACTCTCTCAGTCTGCAGTTACCAAATTCCCTCTGTTGCTTCAAACTACAGCTCTCCCATGGCCCCTCCTCACATCTTCCCAGAGTGACCTCAGCTCCTACCTCTGTCAGTGACACACTGTTCATCTCCATCTGATGATATTTTTTTCTTCTTATTAGGACAGCTTCCCCAGATAAACTAGAAGCACTTGAGGAAGACTATCCCCCTGTGTCAGCCAGGGAGACCTTGCAGGAAACGGATGACACACTCAAAGCATCTAACTGAGGAGAGTTTGCTAAAGGGACTGTTCACTGAATTGTAGACAGAGCTAAGTCAAACCAACAAAAGATGGGCTAACAACATCCAACAGCCATTACTATGAAGAATCCTTAAGGGGTATGGGGAAACAGAAGGTGCCAGAACACAGAGAGAGCAGTGGTTCTCACTATAGCTAGAGTTCTGGGGAGAGGGTTGTCCAACAAAAGCTGCAACTTTAGGCAAAGGTGCCCAGTTCCTGTGGTCCATGACCAGGCAGGGCGAGAGTGGGAAAACAAATACCTCAACCTCTGATCTCCTGCTAGGAGGCCAGCAGGACCTCTTTCTCCTATGGGCCAAACCCAACCAGATTCCAGAAGGTAACATCCATGTGGTACATCCTCCACGTGTGATTGGCCAGGTAGTGAAGGATAAAGAGTGGATCTGGAGGGAACATGCAAACCATCCAGCACATCCCCATAGGTGGTTTTCAATAGTGCTTATTGATTGACTTTGTGTTAATGAATGTTGTGGAAGGCTTGATTACTATAATGATTTGGATACAAACAGTCAAGAGTCTGAAGGATGAATTCAGGGATGTGTGCAGTTCTTTTTCTTCCTCTACAAGCTCAGCTGTCAGAGCTGAAGGTTTAGTGTGGCAAACGTTTTGTCTTCCTTTTGTGGGTGAGAAGAAAAGAGGATACCAAGAAGGAAGTCATACTGCTACTCTCATCTGTGCTTAAAAGCTAAATGTATTTCCCCCAAATTAAAAAGAGAATGTTTGCTACTTAAATGTGAGCTGGTAAGAAAGATAACTCACGCTCCAGCATGCTCATCAGTTAAATGCTATCACAGCTACAGGTGTCAAACAGCTACATGGGCAGCCCGGGGATGAGTCTGGCAAATAAAAGAGCACAGTGTGAAATGATGACTTTTTCTGATCAAAAAGCATCCTGGGGAGGGCTGAACAGTTTTGGGTCAAGAAGAGGCCTCTATTTCTGGGGTGATTTTTATTGCTATGAGAGAGAAGACCGTAGTTGCTGTGAACATATGGCTACTCCACACACTCCTACTGGTGAAGGCAAACTCGTAGTCACTTGTCTTTCTCCCTGGGCTTTTAGCCCCAACAATGAAACATATTTTTCATTTCAGTTTCACTTATGTATCGCTTTCTCTTTTAAAAGGGTGAGTTATAAAGTAAAAAAGAATCACCATCAATGAATATTTCAGTGTGTTACCAGGACGCACGTACGTGGACACGTATATGTGTGCACACACATACACTCAAACCCTCCCCCATGCCACGTGACTAAGGACCACAAACTCATTTTCCCCAACTGGAACTTTTTTCAGTTTTTGTACTGTGAGTTTCTTTATTCTGTGGCTCCTCCAGTCTAAAAATGTAAAAGCTGTTGCAAGGGAGCTATAATTTCTACTCAACACTTCAATGATTTGATTATATAAAATAAAAAGTGTAATGAAGTTAATAGCACCTTATTCTTGCCATACATTATGAGAATATTTTCCTGCAAAATCTGAAAATGGAAATTACCTCTGGGCCCCCTAACTCTCAAAAATATGGGTCGTGATGATTACTGCAATGGAATTTCAAGACTGAAGAACGTAATATGTTTCTCTTTCCTCTATTCAGTTTCCCAAAAGGACATCTTCTCTTCCTGGGATAGTATATAATAAAAGATAAAGAACTTAAGTGACAGATTGTTCTACTTTTGGTGTAATCCTAGCGTGTGAGCTCAGGAAGAGCAGATAACCTCTCTGGGCCTTAAGTAGTCTGAAAAGTGAGGGGACTGGATAACCCATTTTCACTTTAGCATTCTAGATTCCAAAAAATAAAATAAAAAACATGCATTGGGAATGAAAACTGTACTGTAATGCCAGGTTTGTTGTTCTTGTTTTCTTGTATTTCACAGCAGCCCTTATCCAGAATCTTCCCCACCTGCTTCTTGCCTAGTAATTTATGTGGTTTCAGCATAGAGCTGAAGAAGAGGGCAACATCTTGAGTTCAGATCCTTCACAGGCCGGGCATCTTTGATCTCATCCCTGGTCCAGCTTTCTTTCTGACAGTTGGAATTCATTCAACATGCTTTCAGGTTCCCATTCCCAAAGAATCAACTCAAAAAGAATACTCTAGCTGCTATTGTCCCAGAGGTAGCACCTCATTTGAAGAACAGAACATAATACTACAACCGAGGGCAAAATTGCAATCACTTGGCCTAAGTGCAAATAATGTTAAATAGCATTTAAGTACCCCGCTACACACTGTGATAGGAAAGGACATCCTTTTTCAGAATTTTCCCAATCTGGGCATGCAGATGTAGCACAGTCTGCCTCTAGGAAACAAGGAAACGATTTCACTGGTGTAAAAACTCTCCTAAGCATGATACAGGGAGACTCAACAGGATTAAGTTTCTCAGGTGGTGCCAAACAAGTTCTCATTTTCACAGCGTTCTTCTATGCCAGCAAGTCAAGAAACACATTTGCAGCCCTCAACAAGTTTCAGGGTACAGCCATATGCCAAAAAGAATGCAAGCTCGATTTCGGGTTTTCAGCTAGACTGGTAATGTGACAGGATTTTACTTATGCCCATTTCCAATCTATCTTTAGGTAAAATTTAAATATGAGCATTGACACTGTTTCCCTTTTTCTGATCTACAGTACCTAAGATCCCCCCTGTCTTGTCTTGTCCTATCCCTGCCTTCCCAGCGTTCTGGGCTCTGCGTTCTTCTGTTTTACCAATTCCCTCAACAAAATTCTGCTCATCTGGTTGACATTTGGCAGAGATCCAAGGCCATTTATTAATGAATGCTACTATGAATTATTGAGAGCCAATAGCTTATTAAGTTTAACTTGATAGGTTAAGATCTCAAGTTTTAACTTGATAAAACTTGAGATCTGAGGCAGAAATCTGTGGCTTTGGGGAACAACCAATATCGATGATATTTCTGGGTTAAGAGAATCTTTCTTGAGCTGCTCACATCATACCATATGGCTGTCTCTGTCCTTAACCTAGGCCTAAGACAGACCCTATTGGCATGCTGATATGTAAAAAGTGTTCTTCTTCTGCAAAGGAGAGGCTGAGAAATTATCTCTTTATCCCAAGTTTTCCCAGAAGTTGAAAAAGGAATACACACACATACACACATACACACACACACAGATACCCAGGCACGCTCACACACCAATGTCACCACATTCAACCTGGAGTTAGCAAGATGTAGGAGGTGTGATGGGGTCAGATCTACAGAGAGGAGGACTTAAAATTCACCAAACTTAGCCTCTAAAGGTATGCTGGTCAAGGCACAGCCCAAATAGACACAGATGTTGATTCTGACTAAGGAGAGAAGAATTTGACATAAATGCGTAACACAATCTTCTTCTCAAGTCCCAGAAACTCACATCTATGAACAATTTGTGAGGTGGAGTCTCAGCCATTAGGAGGTAAATAACTAATCTGTCCATGACAGAGCAAGACCTACAGTTGCAATGAAAGGTATAACGGATAAATCAAACCAACAAATAGTTCACTGAACCCCCACTCTGCTAGACTCCAGGCCAGGTGCTGAGAATATACAAGTGAATAAAACACATCCCTATAAAACGTACACAAGAAGGAACGAAGCTAAATCTCTGTTTCAGAAAGTTTGCTTTGTATTTCAAGTTTGCTTGATTTGATTCCTTGCTTTGCTCACAGGCACTGCGTAACAGAAAAGGTGACCCACACATGTTAGCCCAGAGACTGTGGAAGAGTAGCCAACCATCAGACTTAGTCTAAAGTGAATTAGCCTGTTTCATCGGACTAAGCAGATTCTCACACCTGATAGCAAACCCTACCAGGTTGTTCAGAATGATGTTCATCAGCATTAAAACTCTTAGAAAGAAAGTTTACAGACAACTGAACTAGTGCACATACTTAAGAAGATCTCCAAGACTTCCTCAGCTCTTCAATATTTGAAGCTGTATTGAATTCTTGTTCAACTTACCCCCAAGGTTAAGATAAATGGAGGATGGAACAACTATATATAGGTTAGCATTTGGCATCAGTATACAGTAGTGTTTTTGTATAGACTGAAGTCTACATCAGCTGGAATTAATATAATTAAATATAATGTCGACAGGTTATGACATTTGCCTATTAAGACACTATACAAACATTCCAATAATGTGCTGGTTTTTGAGTTTGTGGAAAAAAAATGAAACAAAATCTCAGGGGATGTTGCTAATGGTGTAACTGGAAGAGAGGTTTCAAAAGCACAGGGTTCAGGAAATAACAGTCAAAGAATAATGCATTCAAAGCCAAAACATATAGAGTGGTAAATGAATATTTAGTACTTACCACAAGACTGCTGTCTAGAGACAGCCTTTTTCCAAAGTCCCTTTTCTCGAGCTGTCTCTTTCCCTCCATGGACGAAGTTATTTATTTTCTTTTGTGACTTATAAGAATCCCCCGTCTGTTTCCAGGGTCACTGAAAAGAGTGAACATGTGTTTTACTATCCAAGTGCACAGTGTTTAGACCTTTGTTTTCAACTGTCTAACCAGAAACAAGCATTGAAGTCAAAATATACCTAGTCCCAAATAATAAGTATAGAACTGGGCTCTCTCAACTCAAAAGACCACTCCGTGTTACAAATGTCAGAGTCGTCTTTATGGCGGCCCCTGTGTTTTTATAGGTTTTGCTAATGGAGTTGGGGAATGGGTTTGCAGGTTGAATCAGCAGACTGTGGAAAAAAGCAAACAGTCTCCGTTTCATGCCACACTTGCTCCACACCCGTCCTCTCTCTATCAGCCAGAATCATTCTGTTACTGTGCACATCGATGCTGTCTGCAAATTCCATGAGATCAAACCGACAAAACCACGCTCCATAACCAAGAGTTATTGAGCTCAAGGTCCAATGAAGGGAAACTGAAACATGAACTTTGTTGTCAATATTTAATTTAAAAAATATGTAATTTAAAAATATTTGAGGAACATTGTAAGATACATTCCTCTCGGGATAGATTGATTCAAAATGAATGGTGGGTGATGTCATTACTGTCAATGAGTATTTATAGAACACCCACTGTATTTTTACCATATTAGATATAGTTCAGCCCCAAACTCCACTGAGATTGCTTTTTCTAGAATGATTAAGTATTCTGGTTAATAAGGATTCATCATATATGTTAAGTGCTAGCTTCCAATTTTCACAAAGATGTAAAAGGCTTGAAATAAAATAAATGGGTTACAGTCCAGGAATTTTTTTTTTTTTTTTTTTTTTTTTTTTTTTTTTTTTTTGAGACAGAATCTCGCTCTGTTGCCCATGCTGGAGTGCAGTGGCGTGATCTCGGCTCACTGCAAGCTCTGCCTCCTGGGTTCACGCCATTCTCCTGCCTCAGCCTCCTGAGTAGCTAGGACTACAGGTGCCCACCACTATGCCAGGTTAATTTTTTGTATTTTTAGTAGAGATGGGGTTTCACCGTGTTAGCCAGGATGGTCTTGATCTCCTGACCTCGTGATCCGCCCACCTCGGCCTCCCAAAGTACTGGGATTACAGGCGTCAGCCACCATGCCTAGCCCAGTCCAGGATTTCTTATCCACTAGCCAAGTGACCTTGGACAAGTCATTTAACCTCTCTGAAACTCATTTTTCTCAACTACAAAACATGATGATAGCAATCAAATGATGTATGGGAATATGATTTAGATGCCATAAATTACAACTCATATGTAAGTTATAATTATACACAGATTACATGTAAAAACAGTTAACCTGAAATATTAGTCAACATAATTCAATATATTCTTGATGATTCCGAAGGCACTTTGAGGTATAGAAATTACTCATAATCCTTGTAAATAAACATAGCCATTGTACTGCTGATGCAGAAGAGATGAAATACAATGCTATACCAATTAATTCTTTAATATAATTGAAAAGAAATACGTTCCACAACTCTCAGTTACTCCAAGTCTGACATGGATCAAACAGGCAGGATTTCATGGCCCACAGGATGCGGGCTCTCTCTTGGTTTTCTTCATCAAGAGGGTTGAGACGGCGGTGCCTCAGATGGGGAATGCCCAGACTATAGTCAATCATGTGAAACTGATGGGCTCATGTTCCAGCTTAGGCTTCTTCCTCCATCTTAGTCATTTTATCTCTTACTTTCAAGAACACTAATTTTAATACATCACTTGTCCACTCAGAGACTCTTAAGAGTTCAATCAGAATTTAGGATAAAATCCAAATTTTTCAATATCATTGTCTAAAATTCTAGGCAGTATTTTTCAGAAAAGAAGTTAGTTCTGTATACTGCTATAGGCACGACCACTAGTCAGCTGAAATTTGTTTGGGAGGCTGCCTTTTCTACTTTCAGCTGTTCCTGCCCACTTTGTAGCATTCCCCCCCTCCTCCAGTCTCAGCGACCATATACACTGGTAGTTCAGAACACCCTCTGCAATAATTAACCAGCTAGCGACTACTCAGGCCCTCATATTTCCCTCTCCACCAAAAACACACCCTAAGTCTTGATCCCAAAGAGCATGGGAGTTTGATAGCTCACAATAGATTGTGCTTTGGCCCTTAGCACATATGCACTGAGGGCCTACTGTATGGAAGACAGTAGGAATACCCTGGGAATACTGTACGGAATACTGTCCTTACATGTTAGTGACACAGTCATGTACAAGAAAAACCAAGTCCCCACCTTTGTGGAACTCATATTTTAGTGAGGCATATAGAAAACAAGCAAACAAACAAACAGCTCCAAACTGTGGTAGGTACAGTATGACGGAAATAACCCCCATCAGGTGGAGAAAAGTGCCAAGTGGCCGGGCGGGGTGGCTCGTGCCTATAATCCCAGTACTTTGGGAGACTGAGGCAGGCGGATCACCTGAGGTCAAGAGATCGAGACCATCCTGGTCAACATGGTGAAACCCTGTCTTTACTAAAAATAAAAATAAAAAATTAGCTGGGCGTGGTGGTGTGTACTTGTAATCCCAGCTACTCAGGAGGCTGAGGTAGGAGAATTGCTTGAACCCGGGAGGTGGATGTTGCAGTGAGCTGAGATTGCCCCACTGCACTCCAGCCTGACTGATGACAGAGAGAGACTCCATCTCAAAAAAAAAAAAGAAAAAAAGAGAAAAAAAAAGTGAAGCACATGAACAGGGATAGCTTTTGGATTGAGTGGTTAGGGTAGAAGTCAGTCATGTAAAAGATGGGTAAAGATCATTTCAGGTAGAGGGAACAGCCTTTCATCTGGGAAGGAATCGGAAAAGAACTTTGTTAAGAGAGGACCTATTTCTTAGGAAGAAAATAGCCAGGAAGAGAATGTGTGAAAAAAGTGCTGAATTATAGGCAAAAACTGCAGAGGCTTGGAGGCTAATGTATCTCTCTCAGCAATTATTCTAAACACAAAAGTTAATCTTAGGTTTTACATTTCCTACCTTACAACCTACTAGCCAGTAACATTCAACAAATTATTTAACCTATTTAACCTTCCACTACTTACTCTATGCAATGGCATTAATAGTAGGACCTTCTTCATAGTAGGGTTTTGTGACGATTAATGAGACAAGTCATTGAATTGTTAGGCTGGGGACAGATACATGTAGGTAAGACTTAAATATTAGATATATAGATCATACCTTCTGGCAAATATGATTAAACTCATTAAGAGCAACTCTAGCTACTGAATTTTATGCTTCTTCTTAGGCAGATGAGGCTGTCATTTTGGGAAATGGGGATCCTTTTGATAGTTCTCAAATAGCCCAATGTGCCTATGTGGAAAGCTGATTCAGTAGCTTTCCAAATGGATTTGGTCAATTTCTTTTCATATTTTATGGTATCAATAATATAGGCAGATGTAATATTCAAGTTGTTTAGCAACAATATGTCACAAGCGTTAGGCAATCATAAAGGTACAGTCCAATCAGGGTTGACAATGGCAACAAGCGGTACAATTAGAGCAGTGTATCCTAGCCAATTCCAGCCTAACTACACACACTGGCCCCACTCCAAGAAGGTGAAAATTTGTGAGTCAGACCATAAAACAATCATGGAAAGGGTCAGAGTAAATTTATCCAAGTGGATCAAAGGAAGACTGTCTAAAAGAAACAAAATGGCAACCAGGATGCAGCAATATGAAAAGGGACCTCATTAACAAAGAAAATATCAGAAAAGCTGAAACACTGTATTGATTTCACTATTCGGAAAAGACTACATACATCCAGCAGAGACGGCAGATCCAGGGGGGAAATGAGTATATCATATCCTAAAGATGCCTGGGATTACGTGGGCCGTTTGTACCATCCATCTAACTCAACTAATTCAGAGACTAGGGTGATCAAGCAACCTTCCAATTTTATTTGATTCCTATGTAGTAACACTTATAGAAGAAGAATGTGCTGACCAGCAAATATAAGTAGACAATCTTTTGAAAAATTCCATTTCTAGTGCAAACTAAAAATGACAATTTGACATCTGACTCTTTATATTTATTACTTACGTATTTGGTTAGTATATTGACTGTCATAACAGAATAACATAGACTGAATAGATTACACAACAGACGTTTATTTTCTGCGCTAGCAGAGTTGATTTCTGGTGAGTCCTCTCTCCTTGTCTTGCAAATGGACATCTTCTCACTGTGTCCTCACATGGCCTTTGCTTTGTGTATGCACATCCCCGTGTCTCTTTCTCTAAGGACACCAGTCCTAGCACATTAAAGACCCACACTTACGACCTAATTTAACCTTCATTACCTCCTTAAATGCCCTATCTCCAAATACAGTCACATTGGGAGTTAGGGGTTCAACGTATGAAATTTGCAGGAGACGTGGTTCAGTCTATAACAGCTATTTTCAGTCAGGTTTCAAATCGTATCTGAGTGTTCTATTAAGCAAATTCCTAAGTCTAAAACACTAAGGGAAACCTCCGAGTGGTGGTGGTTATGGTGACTGCCTCCAGACTCCACGCCTCTCTGCTTGTTATGTGACCGTTGGACCTTACTGCTCCCTTCCCGCCTTACCTTGCCCTGCTGTACTCTTCTCTGTGTTGTGCATGTATGGGTGCGAACATGATTAAGACTTCTCGGTCAGTGTGTTAACGTTGAATTCTGCCAATGGGAGGCAGTGAGAGATTAGAAGGCAATGGGAAAGAAGCCATTCCGCTTCCAGCTCTAGCAAAATAGCATCAACAGCAGGTGGCTGCAGGCTCCAGCAACTTCTGTGATTCCTCCAACAGGTCAGCTAAGAAAGGGCACCAGCAACGCCCCAGTCTGTGAGCCTGCCACCTTATCCCTCTGGCTTCGCCAGCCCCTTCAACACCAGCATAAAAATCCCTTGCATTAAATCCCTCTTTGCTTGAAACATCTACAGTAATTTCCTTTTTCTACACTTGACAAAGTTTGATGCACAGCCCATGGAGATGCCTTTGGACAGGCAGCAAGCCTTCCTTGGGAAATACCTGGATTCATTCTTGTGAGTCTT